GCTCGCAAATTTACCACCTGATTCACGGCAAAGTACCTGTAGTAGATTACGCGTGCATTTTGTTAAATTGTTACGCCGTGTAGTTGGTGGTAGAGGTTTGCGTCGTTTTAGAAGTGCTTGCTGCTTCACTAGCCTCTGAAACGTCGTAAACTTCTACCAGGTAACGCGGCGTAACATCCCATAAGAGAGTCATCTTCAGACTACAACCGTTTAATTCTTAGCCCCTCAGCAGAAATGATGTAGAATGTGAACTCAGATTTTCCCGGAAATTAAGAACTTGGAAGATCAAGAAGGAGATGGATATTAGGGGGAACAGGTCTGTATTTCGTGGGTGTCGTGTCCGATGGCGGGCTTTGTTTTAACAGTGCTGCCAACACAAAGCAGACGTAAGTTAGTTAATATTCAGAGAATACATGAATAGATCATCCGTATCGATTTTAAATTGTGTTATTCCCTTTATACTAGAGCTTTTGTACTGGGTTGCGCTGATAAGTTGTCTCAAAACTTGATTCATTATCAGCTAGGCGTACAGCACGCCACAGCGTAAGGGTAACCAGATTTATCGATGTAGTGGCTGTCGCTTTAACATCCCTTTTCGTGGGGGTCTTCGTTTCAGATCTCGCTCGAAAGACAACTAATCGCAACTTCTTTCCGACAAATCGGGTAGAAAATTTGTGGGCACCCTATAATTCCGCTTTGGCGCAACGGGTTTATCAATCAAAATAACAGACTCCTGCGACAGCTGGACAGCCACCATCGATTCTTCGAGGTAGAGGGTGTGTAATAAGGAGCATGTCAACATGATTCAACGGTGTGCAATTAATAACTGATTCGCATGGCACAGTTGGATGAAAAGTTGATGGAAAGCCTGAAACATTATCGATTGGCGTGAACACTGTAGTCATTTCAACCCTCTGTTCGAGTAACAGGTAATAACCCCCACCCCCCGAGCATTTCTGAGAATATTACTGAACGCGCTGTAACTTGAAGATGGCTGTCTTCATAATCAGGGAGATCGCCCTGATGATGGAGGCAGTAAGTACCTCTGAAATGTCGGTAAATCCCTACCAGACTACATGGATCAACATCCCAGAAGACAGCAAGCAATCTTCGACTTCGCCTGGCTTGATCCGTCGTTAAATATTATAAAAACGAAGCCACTGTTTCGGCAGCTAGTTCTGCTCCCGTCTTCAGGTGAAACTGTCTGTTCTTTTGGGTCAGGTAGAAGAGGACAATTCCAACTTCCTCGCATCAATCTTCAATGTCTTGGAAGATAAATGGGCAATAGAACACCTGGTAATTTATAGTCCAGGAGAACAGTTCCGTTATCCTAATGGAATTGTTACTGTCAAGAGCCCCCCTGATGTGAAGATGTATGACCCGTGACGGTGCTGACCTTGAAGTATGTGACCATGGTGAATATTCACGGTGGCGAAGCACACGTAAGGTTTTCAGATTCGCATTCAGGAATATACACGGTTCATCAGACGTGGGGTTTAGCGGTTAGAACGCTGGCCTTGTAATCCTGGGGTCTCGGGTTCGATTCCCGGCGGTGCCCGAATTTATAACTTGTGTTGGGGCAAGGCCGTGGTCTAGGCAACACGGAGTTTTCCTCCGTGGCATCCCAACAATTACTCCATTCACACACAGAAGAAGGCAATGGCAAACCACTTCTGGATCATCTGCCAAGAACGTATATGAACAGGTCCCAGTCCGAGAAAAGGATGGAAGGATCCTGTTCATATGGACCTGTCGTCAGACAGAACACTAAATAAATAAAAAAATAATAATTTGTTCTTGCAGTTTGTCACGGCAAATCTCGCTGAAATATCTTTTCATAAATTGTCCGCAACGTTTATTTGAAATCTTCTTTTGGTACTGTGAATATTTAGCGAACTGAACTGTACACGGGCATAATTTACGACTTTGTACGTGCTGTCCGGTTGTAGTTATAAAGGCTTTCGGAATTATACAGACACGTGGTCGTCCTAGTTGCCATGGAAACTGCTTGCCAGAAACACCGCTAGTGTCAGGTGACCTTTCTGCGTCTCAGGGCAGGCCAAGGTACTGGTCTTCGACCTCCCCCCTCAATTCATACTTGTCTAATGGCCCCGCGGTCGGGATTTACGTTTAATACTCTCAAATTTCGGTATTACCGATAAAACTTTTTGAGATTCCGGGTATGAAAACGCTGTATTTCTGCTGAAGTTATATCACCTCGGAGAATATCTGAGATAGGCAGATTTAAAAGTTCTAATTCCTGATGAAGTTGATTTTTCTCGTGTAGGCTAGGCGCAACAGTGATCCAATCTCGATGGAGCCAAATAGCCTGCGTGCGATTTCAGGTTCTCACGGAGGCGAAAATGAAGGTGTCTTGTCTTCTGGGGCTGTGTCGAGCCGTGTAGTCTGGTAGAAACTGATCCGACGTTTCTGAGGTGCTTTCTGCCTCCATCATCAGGACTCAACGCCTACAGTTTGGCTCGACTTTCCCTCATGTTATATTGAGAGCGTCTCTTGGTATAGTCTCAGTTGTATTAAGTTTCGTCGAAATCCGTTTAGTAATTTCGAATAAAACGCTGGAGTAGTAACAGATGGTGACCTTCGTACGGCTCCGCGCAAAGAACGTTGGTGGAGTAAAGCAAGTCATGAGAGCAACTTGTACCACTCTTGAATATAGGAGCCGGCCTGTTATCTGAGGCTGGGGATCTCGCAGAAAACAGCTTCGTAATCTGTGTGCCGTATTTAACGAATTACGACGCGGACTGCAAACATCGGTCCTTGAATCACACGAACCAAGCCAAGATAATTTCTACGTAATTCACACAAATGCATATCTGTCTACTTTGTGCCCAGGCCCACTGTGAATTTTGAGATTATAATTTTTCTAATCGTCTGGCCGAGGACAGGGCTTAGTGACGTGCTCTTGTGAACCTTCGGGTTCCTTGAAAGGCGGTAAATATTTTGACGAGCCGAGTGACTGTTAGGTTCTGGAGGACACTGTCCCCACGAAATTCGTACAGTAGTACCGATTTCAAGGAGGGTATCAGCTGTAATCGCCATTTGCCTCATTATTCTGTGCGTGAACGGGTTCATATGCAGTAGTTAGTGTTGAATTTTAAATTGAACACCCTGTAGTTTTATCAGAGTTGTTAGCCCCCAGTCTCCCGTCGTCTTTACGACTTGAAAAGATGTTCCTTGAAGATTCCGGACACACTGGCTGTAAAAACGTAAAGCTGTCCCCACTGCACGCCATTTAGACGCTTGGGGGGAGAGATGGTATAGCCCCTACTCATTCTTAACCACGGCACTAGGTGGGGGTGAGTGGTTAGCTTCACAAAAGACAAGAACACCGAAACCCTCATCTTGTCTTCTTGTGACTGACTATAATAGGACGGAGACACTTCAAAGGGGAGGATAATATTAAAAACAGACAGCATTTGCAAGGTCGGGGTCTCTGAATACCCTGTGCCTCCCTCCCTGGGCAAAAATCCTTTTCTAACTCGCCGACCTATACGAGGTTCGGAGTATCACTCGTCGGCGAAGTCCTGGCCTGCAGAATATGACACTTGAAGGCTTCTATTATGGCCTGGTGGCCCAGAATTTAGGACACAGCAATTTTGGAGCGTACATAAGACTGACCAAAATAAATAATTTCTTTATCCACTTGGACAGACATTTTGGATTTGAGGATTTCACGGCGTTGCGATTCATAAAACGGAAATTCCATTACACTGAGAACGTCGCTCGGTTTTAGAAGTTGCTTATATTCTAAGAGTGCTCAAATTCATTCAACCCGCCTGCCGGAGGCCGGAACACCGGAACAATTGCGCGCGCACACCTGGAGGGACCGTAACAACAATAATCAGGCGGACAGTGACTGGGGACACTGCAATACAGGGCTAAGGGACGCGTCCCTGAAAGCTCAGAAATGACTTGCGGTCGGCCAGTCACTTTCGAGATACCTCGACTGACTGACTGACAGTACTGGTACAAAGCCATCCAAACAGAACTGACCCATAAACACATCTTGCTGACCACTCAGCTCCATCTACAGGCAAAGGTTAGTACGTACATCTCCCATGGCCTTATTCTAGATGAAACAAGTTTTGGAGCGTTCACCAGAATTTGACCTTTCAAGTTTCTAGATTGTGTCAGTGACATCAGATGTGCCTAGGACAAACGTCCTTTGCTTATGCAGTGACATATTACTTGGTGATGACGTCATAAGGATTCCCCACGTGTTCTCGCGTTTGGCTGGGGATTCCTCTCGTGGAGACTTACAGGTAAAAACATAGCCATAATGAACAAGGTGACCAGGATAACCAAGGTAGGCATGGAGGATTCCCCACCTAGGCGCGGATAAAAACGCTACGTCTTCAGGCAATACTCGCGTTATTTTTGTGTCATTTTATCCGAAATCAGAATGTGTAGGCAAACTTTAGTAAAGAAAAAAGAGGACTAGCCAGTGTAAAATTTCATGAAAATCCGTTCGGTCGTTGTAGAGTCGTTACACGCGGATGGACAGGAGACAGACAGACAGGGGCGAAGCTAATAGCCGTATTTTGGCTGCGACCTCAACTAGAAACATCGAACACTCGGCCGAATAAATCGGAACGAATTCCTTTCCGTCCAACGCGTACACTGAAATCCACTCACTCTATCTGTCTCTCCAGGAAGTCCACGCCGATCGTCTTCTTGTAGTCTTTGGTGAAGGTGCCTTTGCAGTAACGCTGGATCATACTGGACTTGCCCACAGCTCCGTTCCCCACGATCACCACCTGTCGGCACACCAATCACATTCAGCTGTCTCAAATCATCGTGAACATCTGTTCGAACCACACAAACATACACGCATTCACACTCGCGCCGAATGTTGGATTTCTTCCAACACTTCGACAAACATTTCGGATGCCATCTTCAGGGTGAATGTGAAGTCCTGTTAGGAAGCCATTATAATGTAGAGGCCTCATGTAGGTCAGTGTAAGGGCTTCCTAAATCATCCCCAGAACAGGGGTATGAATTAGTAGTAGTTCCTGTAACTCCTAAGTGGAGCATAGGGCCTCCTTTCGCAAATATTTAAGCTTTTTTTTTCCAGGTGTAAATAATTTGATGGCTGGTCTCAATGGTTTTCAGACTAAACAACTATTTCGATTCTCCTTCAATGAAACAAGTTTTTCCCCCTCGCTTCACAAGACTTAATTAGCTAAAGAAATCGGAGCTTATGCAAGAATTCTAGAGAAACAAGTTTTCTTTTTTTCGTCGTTCATTGATATTCTGTTTTATTCAACAAATCTTCTGCTTTGGATTTTTCCTTATACTGCAGCAGATGCAAGGATAAGGTCTTTTTCCGTTCTTCATTTATTATTTTCTTCATTATGATTCTAGACTCAGTACTTGCATGCATACGGTTTCTTTTCGATCGTCGTTTGTTACGTTCTTTAATGTGCTTGCAAGACTACAGGTTTTCTATTGGCCTATACAATGAACGGGCTTTCTCTTGAGCGTATAGTAAGTACCCAATCGTAAATGGCTTGTTTAGAATGTAACCTTGTTTATATAATCGATGGAAAAGAATCACATGGCTTAGAAATTACCGAGAAATCTTTGTACGCTTTTTTATATGATGTTTCACAACGCTACAGGTTGGTTATAAGCTCGTGACATACTTAAACTGTTAGCTTTTACAGTCTTTAGTAATGCGTTCCTATTACCTAGTACGCAATAGGCTTGCAACAAAAATGAAACAAGATCGAGATGAAAGAGTTGTTTCTAGATTACTTATTTACTATAAAATGTTCACAAAACATTTCCCTGTTTCCGCGTTTTTACTCATGATTGATGATAAAAAATTGGATGAAATTGAGATCTGAGGTTCTCACGGCGGTGAAGTTATA